ACGAAATATTTTTTTAATCCTTTGGGTGATTTATCAACCAAAACAAAAAAAACATTTTTGTTGTTTGCTTACTAAGTATAAATATGTATTTATTTAATATTTATATGTATACGATAGTTTTTATAAAAAATAAATAAATATTTATATCTATTAAGTACAATTTAATACAAATGAATATATCTATTAAATACAAATAAAAACGTATTTATACATTTAAAACCATATTTATATATTTAAAAATATTTTTATTTTATTTAACAGATATAAATACATATTTATTTTATATAAAAACCATTGTATGCATATAAATATGAAATAAATACATATTTATACTTAGTAATATGTATAAATACATATACATATATCTTTTATACAATATAAACCTTATAAGTATGTATTTTTATATTTATATATATACAATACATTTTTATATGAAATAAATATATATTTATACCTACTAAATACAAATAAATACATTTTTAATATATATAAATATGTGTTTAAAGGAATACATAAGCTTTCAAATGTATATAAATACTAAATACAAGTATATATATTTTTAAAAATATATTCATATTAATAAAATGTGTGTATAAAATATTTTTATACATTTAAAAATGTATTAAAAATATAATAATAATAATAATAATAATAATAATAATAATAATAACAATCAACATAAGGATAAATCCGAACATTTTTGATAACTTAAGAGTAAATCCAAACATTTTTGAAAATTCAAGGGTTTTACTGGCATTTGGTAATCGGTAGGTTACCTGGAAACTGGCTAAAAGGGTATAAATGAACAAACTAAACAAAACATCTGACTTTATTGGACCTAAAACACGTCCAAGGGTAAAACCGTCCAACAAAGAGAATGCCAGCGCACACAGCTTCTTCGATTGTCTATGTGTATCACCTCCTCCCTTTTTCTTTTCTTGTTGTGTCTTTGTGCGCTCTCCGACGAAAATAAGAACCAAAAAAGAAGGGTACTCCCCTTCTCTTTCAAACTCGATCTCCAAGCGTCTGAGCAACAAGAAGAATCGATCGCACGCTTCTTCTCTTTCTTGTTGTCACTGCAATCGACACCCACCCTCTTCAATTTTGATTGCAGCCTCTTTCTCTCCCATTGTGCTGGTTCAAAGGATAATGTATCGACGAGCTTGTACATTGTGTTGCATAGTTTGTACTTTTTTGACTTTCAACCATCAGAGCAAAATGAAGGGAAATCTTCTAAAGTGAAGGACTCGTCGACGAAGTTTGATCGGAGGTTGTCGCAGATAGCTTGAGACGGGAGCTGGGTTTGTGGTGGTGACGGTCTTGGTTTTAATGGTAGCTTAGAGGTTGAAGACGATGAACATTAAACAATTTTAATGGTGGCTTAAATAAACAAACCCAGAAAACAAAACTGAGTTGTTAATAAAGAGATGAGGGAGGAGGAAGAAGGGCTTGGTGGTGGTGGTGGCTGATGAGAACGACGATCAAGAAGTTGAGGTGTGTGTGTTTTTGTGTTTTTTATTTGAAAATCAAAATTTGGTGTGATGTGTGTGTTTTTGAGTTGTTAATTTGAAAAATTGAAACCTTATTTGTGTGTGTTACAATTTGCCGAAAAAATCATGTTGGCCAGAGGCTCGTCGAAGAAGATGACGGGAGTATCGCCGTAGATGCAAAGACCGCTGGAAACCGGCTAAACCCACACCAACCGGTCATAAGGGTAAGATATGGACAAAAAAACAAGTTTAATGAGAAAATATTGACAAAAAAATTTTCAATGACTAAATGTGTACAGAACGAAAAATACATTACCATTTTAAGTCATTATCCTTCCCTAAATAGGCGCCTAATATAATTTCACGTATGACTTTATCTATTTCTAGTTTATTAATTAATATATAGCAAGTTTTTCTCCTGTTTTGTGGCCTAACTGTTAGGGGTATGATAAAAAACCAAATCCGAATAATCAAACCGAACCAAATGATATTTGGTTTATTTGGTTCGGGTTATTTGATTTTCAGTTAATGTGATTTGGTTAACAGAATAATGATACCTTATTCGGTGTGGTTTTGGTTTAATTTTTATTGTTTTGGTTAAACCGAAAAAACCAAATAAACTAATTAACTAATATATATTTATAATTTATATCTATGAATTTACATTTTATATATAAATTTGTAGATTAGTTACTTAGATTTCATAACTTATTATTTAGTTATTAACCGTTATAGATTTATTTTGTATTAAAAAAAACAAAGTAACTAAATGCCAATTAACCTTAAGTTGTTTATACGACTAAATCTATATTAATTTATCTTTTCAATGTCTGCATCGATTCTTCAAGACAAAACATTATGAAAGATTGAATATAATATGTTATATATTAATATATTCTCTTTATTTGTTAAAAATTTTAGTAATTTTTGTTTCTTTTAGTTTAATATTTATGTTTACTTGCGAAATTTTATTCGGTTTAACCGGTAAATCGAACCGAATAAACTGAAACCGATTAAACTGAACCTTATTTGATTTGGTTATGGTTAGATTTACAATATAAAAGAACCGATAAAACCAAACCGATTTAACCGAAAACTAAAAAACCAAACTGAATAACTCTTAGATCAGGTGAAAAAAGGTTTTTAAAAATCATTCATGTTTATCTTCCTTTTTTTAGTTCCAAGGTATCTTTTAGTTTAAGGGAACAGTTGACAACAGACAAAAAGTTTACAATTGCATAGACAATCATTTACATGTTGATATATTATATTATAAATACTAACATGATCCGTGCGTTGGAAATTTTGTTATCAATTTGAAAATGAATTAAATGATATTGATAGAGAAAGTATTAGCATAAACCTTAAATATCTAGAACCTTTATGGTAAAACTGGATAAATAAATCTAAAAAAGAAAAAAAAATGTTGATAGAAAACTATCAAGGTTAAAATTAAAATATCTATAACATTAGAGGTAAAAAAACAGGTAAATAAAACTAAAATGTTAAAATATCAATGGTTTTTTTTTGTGAAGATTAACATTGTTAAGAATATTTATTATCAGGGTAAGAAGTGTAATTTATTAGGATGTATTTTGTGAGTAAAATTCTTGTGCACGGTGTTTTATTTTTTTTTATTTTTTTATTTTTTATTTTTTTTTATGTTTCTTTAGGAATGCGGCTCACTATTTGGAATTGTGCATATACACGCAAACTCATTTTCGGGTATGGTTTAGGGTTTGGATCCGGGTTAAACCGGACTTGAACCGGATATTGTACCCGGAGTATATATTTTGGTTTGCAGTTGAGGAGGATCATTATTCACGTCTCACAACTTTGCATCATATATTTTTTGCTCTTATCTTTCCACTCATCTTCTTCGTCTAGATTAGGGTTTCCTTTTCTGTGTCAAAGTTGAGTTTGTAATCAATGTCTTGTATTTTGTTTTTTGTTTTAGTGTTAGAGTTTATGTAGGTGAGGTTTTAGTTGTAAGTTTCCTGAAAACCAACTGGATCTTATTTTTCCTTAATAAAAAGATATGTTGATGTTGTGATAATTCATTCTTTGTGTTTGTTTGAGTTTTTGAACATGGCATCAGAGCAAGTTTAAATCATGTGTTGTTTTTTGTTCATTTGATTGTACCTAGTCGAGTTAGGGTTTTCTTCTCTTCTTCGAGTTAGGGTTTCGTCTGTTCATCGAGTTAGGGTTTCGTATG